CAAGAAGCCTGGATGGGAACCTTCACATTTAGCATTATTTAGCTGTATGGGGACAGGATGGAAGGGAAACACTGGGTCTGGTTACAACACAATTGACCATTCTCATGAAGAAAGGACTAGCATTGTGTCATGAAATGGTTTACAGAAACAAAATTGCAACGAACAAGATGAGGCTAGTGAGAAAGAAAATGTGCTAAATCTAGAGTCAAAAGAAAAAACGTGAATGTTTCCCTTAATCTGTATTCTTCCCAAAGCTGAAAGGAGGTATAGATGCATGACATGGCCCCATGAGAGTTATCCAGAGTGTCACTCACCCACAAGGCTTGGAAATCCAAAAATGGAGAAGTACAATAATGACAGTAATGACAGCAATGTATGGTAACACTTGTGCCCTCTCTTCAAAAATAAGTAATATGTAGGACTCTTCCATCATGTTTGACTTCAAATTTAATGTATTATTTAACAAGTAGCTGGATAGTTATACCTCCTTATAATTTAAGCAAACCTTGAACAAACCAGGAGTCACAATCTTTTGATATCTATGTAAGAGGAACTTTTCATTCATTCATTCTCTTCAGTCATTCAGAAAATATCTATTAAGAGTTAGTTAAATGCCAGGAAGTGGTCCAGGTCCTGGAAGAACATCACTCACCCATATCATCAAATTTAATTTGTAGCAATGAGAATAGTAGAATAGGAAACAGAAAAAGAATGTGTTCCAGGAGGTGGTAAAGAAAAAGAACCAGGAAGGACCAAGTTATTTAATCACTATTTTCTGACTCTTCCCTCAACAAACTCAGTTATAAATTGTAATATATGACACACATGTACATATCAGTTTACATGTGACTGCTAGGGGTTGGAAGATAATAAAAAAATTAAAGAGAATTCCATCCTTTAAATAACAGTTTTGATGCAAAGCAGACAAAATAATTATGAACATGATGGTAGGATCATAATTTTGACATTGCTAAATGCGGAGAACTTTGGAATAGGTGGTAGATGCAGTTCCTTGCACAGGAAGAGGAGAAAAAGCTTTCTAAGGAGAATCTCTGAGCTGGTGCTGGAGGGAGTGGGAATTGCCCAGTGTTAGTGGTGGGGATGGTGTCTAGGCTGGGAGAAGAGAGTATGCCCCATCCAGCCTGTGTGCCATGGTTTTACCAGCTCTTCTTTGTATCTTCAAGTATTCTTGGCATTCTGTTCTTTTGGTTCTTTCTGGGCATGAAGATTTTGCTTCAATCTTCTTTGCCTAAAAGAAGGTGGAGCAGGGATGAACTTTGGGTGAGGAGTTTGCAGAGACAGGGAAGAAGCAAGTGAAAGTCTCTTGGAGTGTTGGGATCTTCTAGATGTCGATACGGGTGTTGGTTACACAGGTGCAGATGGGTAAAACTCTATTCAGCTGTATGTTCATTAGTGCACTTTCTACATTTTACTATATGTATGCCAGACCTCGATGAAGCAAGAAAAAAGGAAGAAGGCTTCCAGCCCAAGCAGATCTCACCCATGTCAGGGCTATGAGATTTATTGTATGCTACAGTTTAGCTCTTGGCAACATATATGTGATGTTTCCGTTTTGTTTTTTTCTTTGTTCATTTCCTGTATGGAAACTGTTTCAGAAACCAGATTATAAATGCCACTTAATACCTTGATTTTGTCTTAGACTCATATTTTGTCCTTTGAAAGGAACTATCTACTGCCTTCAACTATAAATATCTGAATCCACACACAGAATGCAATTAGTTTTAAATTTTAGAGGCTTATTTTGCATAAAACCTGTGGAGCGGGTTTTTGTTTCTAAGTGCCTTGTGGAAGAGGATAATTCTACTATATCTCTTTATAGTATCTGGAAGATTGCACTGGATACACAATCTGAGTCCTCTGTAAATATTGCTAAGAGGGCATGAGTATGGAAAAATCCAAAAAAGGCTTAGTTCTATTTTGAATTATGAGTTTCTTAGAACAGAGAGGAGAAGAACCTAAATAGTTCACTTAAGGGATCTTATTTCTTCCCTATCTCTTAAACAGATTAAAAGAGAAGAAATAAAACAATCTTGAAGGTTGATTGAGAGATAAAACACCCACAGAACAAATTTGACTTATTCAAGTTTTATGAATCTCCAAATAGCAGGTTTAAGTAGATTTGCTGGAGCTTAGATAGACGTGCCTGCCAAGCAAGATAACTTTTAAAGAAAAGAGTCCTTTGCATTTTCTCAGGTCAAAAAATTGAGTTTGCAGCTTAGCTTTTTCCTCTTAGAAAATATCAGGTGAAAAAAGGAAAAAATGCCACTCATATCTTGAATGTGGCCAACTCGTTGACAGATCTAAACTCAGAAAAAGCAACTCGCCAAACCTCTGTAAAAACTAAGCCTGGATTCTTCGCAAGTTGCTAATATGTGGTAATATTTGATAGCCAAGGCAAAACTCACTAAGAATTATCTAAACCTTTCTGGGTTTCTTCTTTCTCTTGGTGACCATAATACCTAATTCTTTCTCCTCCCACCAGCACTACCAGTGACACTGCACTGCCTCCTATGATGCAAGACCATCACTACAGGTCACCATGTCCCTAAGTAATGCTCAGTCACAATTGTTTATCTTTAGTCCTTTTCCTTGGGGTTGAACCTCATCATCCATGCTCATTTGTTGATCTCAGAACTAAACTGTGCAAAGGTGTTTATTGACGTAATTTTGATAATGTGATGTGTCATCTATTATACTACACTGCCTCTTTTCTCTTTTGTTAATAAAATGTACATAATAATACCTTGTTATAGGGCACAGAAAAACAGATAATCATGAATAAGACAATAGAAGGTATTTATATTCTCTTGACCTAAAAACCACTATTAACCTACACATGCACGGGCATGCACACATTCATACATATTCTCTACCATTCTTTCTCACAAACATACACATCTGTACTGCATGTTTATTTCTTGCATTTTTCACTTAAATAATATTAATTAAAGTTCTTCATGTCAGTAAATACATTCCCATAACATTTTTATTTGTGCCTGGAAAGTATACCATTTTATAAATAAACAATCATTTATTTACATAGTCTCTTACTATTGGATATGTGCATGGCTGCTCATTTTTCTCTATTAAATTAATAGGGAATCAAAGTACACATCTGTTTTTCATCAATAATTTTCTTAGAAAACTTCTTAGAGCTAGAATCTCTAAGATAAAGATATGCATCAAAAGGAATGTATGTCCATTATAAAATCTCTAATAATATATAATGAAAATGCATTCTTCTTCCATCTGAGACTCCCAATTCTCACTGTAGACAGTCACTGTTGTATGTCTCTCTTGTTACTCTCTGGAAATATTCCCTATGTATATAAAATGGCCTTTCCTTTTTGTACAAGTGAAAGTATATACACTATTCTAAATCTTTACTTTGTAAAATTAAAAATCTGCATCTTGGAGCTTCTTCCAATTGAGAACACATAGATCCAACAGACGTTTTTTCATGGTCATAAGCATAGTATGTATGCATAAAATTTGATATAATTGGTTAGATGGAACTAGGATGTTGTCTCTCTTTCACTGAGACAAACACAGCAAGAGCAGCACAAATGGCTTTTGTACTAAACGAGTGTTGAGGAATTCTTAGAATTTAGGATTTTAAAGCTTTTGATACATATTATCAAACTGTTCTTCCTTGAGGAAAACATTAATATCGGCATGGTAAAAAACATGCCCCTCCTGTTTTTCCTCCTTTTTTAAAAAATATTTATTTTTTAGTTGTAATTGGACACAATACCTTTATTTTATTTATTTATTTTTATGTAGTGCTGAGGACCGATCCCAGGGCCTAGTACATGCGAGGTGAGCACTCTACCACTGAGCCACAATCCCAGCCCTCTTCCTCCTTTCCTAAACAATTTTTTGAGGCGATATTTAAGTCTGACTGTAAATTTGGCATTTTTCCAACCTATGGAGAGAAAGCTGGGTAAAGGCAGAAGCTCCTTAGTATCCTCCTGTCCCACTGCTGATGAAGGCAACTCCTGAGCCTTCATGCACATGTCAGCGCTGTGCTGTTTGTGACGGTGCTCCCCAGGGATGTATTAACCTTAGCTCCTTCATGAAAGGGCACCATAAAGCAGGAAAATCAAATCTCTTTCAAATCTCATGGTCTGTTTTTTTTGTCCACCATAGCACCTGCACGTCTTATTTATTTGTTTATTTTCTGTGCCAGGGATTGAAGATTGAACCTAGGGGTGCTTAACCACTGAGCAACTGAGCCGCATCCTCAGCCATCTCTATATATATAAATAAGAAAAAAGATAATGTGACATTTTCACATTTACTTAAAGAAAAAGAAAAACATGCCAGGCATTGTGGTGCATGCCTGTGATCCCAGCGACTTGGGAGACTGAAGCAGAAGGATTGCAAATTCCAAGCCAACCGCAGCATTTTAGTGAGGCCCTACCCTGGGTAACATAGCAAGACACTGTCTCAAAAAAAAAAAATATATATATGTTATGAAAAATTGTGTTCTATATGTATAATAAGAATTGTGATGGATTCCACTGTCATGTATTTTAAAAATAAAAGCAATTAAATTAAAAAAAAGACAGGAAAAAATGTTATAATTATACATATATTATTTATATTATATATTATATATAAATATACATATTATTCATTGTTTATATATTTTATTTAATATATATTATTTATATATTTTATTTGATAAAGTAAAATATATAGATTATAATTATATTATTTATGAATATATATTATTTATTTATTTTTATTATATATTATTTATTTATTTTTATTATATATTATTTATTTATTTTTAATATATGTATATAATATAATATATATATATATTATTTTGAGACAGTGTCTCACTAAGTTACCCAGGGCCTCATTAAGTTGCTGAGGCTGGCTTTGAACTTGCAATCCTGCCTCAGCCTCCCAATTTGCTGGTATTACAGGCATGCACCACTATGCCTGCTGTGTTTTTCTTATTTCTTTAGTGCTTCTCACTCTTAGGTACTTTATTCCTAATCTCTTCTATATAGAATGTAAACTGTATCAGAGCAATGGATTATTTAGTTCAGTACTGTATCCCTGCACCTATCCACAGTATTGGCTCAGTAAGTTTTTAAAAAATATTTTTTAATGTCAATGGATCTTTATTTTATTTATTTATATGTGGTGCTGAGAATTGAATCCAATGCTTCACACATGCTAGGCAAGCGCTCTGCCACTGAGCCACAACCCCAGTCCTGCTCAGTAAGTTTTTGTTGAGAGAATGAATTCATTCAAACAACACAAGTATCTAGAAATCATCTTATTCCCCCATTTAGTTCTCCTGTCACAAATTTTGCACAGTTGTCTTGTGTTTTTTTTAATTTTATGATTCAAGCAGGGATTTTTCTCTCTATGGTGCAAGATGAACTTCAGAGTGTGAAATCCCAGAGCCTGCAGGTCTCGGATACATGTGTGAATGTGCATTTCAGGGGAGGTGGGGAGAAGAAGGTTTTAATGCTTATGGAAACTAAATGTTTGTATCTTTTTCATCTAACTCCCTGCTATAATTCAGCATAAATCATGCTACAACAGATGTGTTACAATGATTCACTGTATGTGACTAGCAAACTAGGTGTGATGCCTTGATTCTAAATAAATATTAAGCTGATTAAATGGGAGTTTGGGGTAACTAGAAGATAAGCGATGATATGGGGCAGCAAGGAAACCCATACTACTCAGAACCATAGTCTTCTTTGTGGTTTGTAAGGATTATTGGAATTTTCTTGAAAAAAGAAAGTGTGACATTTTCACATTTGCTTTTAAAAGAGAGACAATCAAGCCTACATTACAAAGTGTTAAAAAATAGTGTATATTAACTATTTTGATTGGTGCCACTTCTAGATGAATAAGGAGGATGAAATGTAATATTTTATAATTTGAATTTTTGTCATGTAATCTTTTTGATTTAAAAAATAAGGATCAGAATGTACTTAAATAGATTAATAAAGTGATTTAATCATATTTTTAATATTTCACCCTTCAGAGAGAATTTGTATTAACTGATATTTCTGATATGACATTGTCACACACATGAAACTAGGGGGATAAATAGAAATGTAGAAAGTGGGTTTTTGAGCAGAGATTTTTTTACATGAGAGGAAATAGGATGGTGATTTGTCTCCTGGTTAAGGTTGGTGCTGAGAACATGGTCAGCTCAAGCCTCAAGAAAGGGGGCTGTTGGATAAATGATAATGAGGAGAATAAAATGTTTGCACAAATGCTTGAGAAAGTTATCAAAAAAA